GGTCCATTGGTGGCGGAGAAGCAACAGTCCCGGCAGGCATATGCGTAGCGAGTTCAGCAGGCATGGGCACGGGGACCGTAGGCGCATGACCACCAGGTACAACACAGCGTGTGGTGGGTCAGTGGCCTCTCCTACGGACCACCCCATGGCTTATGAGGACTCTGTGACCACTCTGGTTTGCGAGCTTGTCTATTGAATCGTATGATCATTTTAAAGAGTATTTGCGATCGGGCGTGGTAGTCTGAATGCGGCCCCCCGCAGGGAGAGGTTGGGTCTGGAGCCAACGGCACGGCGTACCTGTGCAACCAGGGCGGCGTCCAATTCTGCCTGAAGAAGATACCCAAGAGGCCGGTCGGGAACGAAGACGTCCTCCGAGAGTTCAGTACGATGCAGCGCCTGAACAGTCGCCTCGTAGCTGGCACGCGCGAAATTTTCCAGCACCAAGGGTTCTATTATGTGGTCATGAACTTTTACACTGGTGGGGATTTCACCAAGCTGGGGGTGAACGCCTACAAGGACGGGCAGCGGATGAGTGAGTCATGGTGGCGGGAAATTTTTAGACAGAGCTTGGAAGGCCTTAATTATCTTCACACAAAGAACGTGATGCACTGCGACATCAAGGAGTCGAATCTCATGGTGGCAGATTGCAAGTCGTATCTGAAGGGTTTCGCTCTCCACCGCCAGCGGCGCAGGCTGAGCCATATACTGTGACTATCCTGGGGGCCTCTTGAGGCCTGCGGCCACCCCGGGGCCATATTGGGGCAGTCTTGGGATCTCCAGGCGCCATCTTGTGCAATCTTGGGGTCCTTGGGGGTCTTGTTGGGCAGTATTGGCACACCTGTGCAATCTTGGGGGTCTTGTTGGGCCATCTTGGCCAATCTCGTGGGCACCTTGGGGCCCGCGGGGGCCATCACGTGGGGCCAGCTCCGGACCATCCTGGGGCCTCTTGGGGCCTGTCTTGAAGCCACACGGGATAGGCAAACGTACCCAGTGCTGCCTGCGGCAAGTTCCGCCACCGTGCCCGCCCAGCACTCTTCCTCCTCCTCCTCGTCGTCGTCCTCCTCCTCGTCGTCCGCCCTCATCCACCCCCTCCTCCTCCTCCTCCTCCTCCTCCTCCTCCTCCTCCTCCTCCTCCTCCTCCTCCTCCTCCTCCTCCCCCTCCTCCTGGGTCGCGACTGCTCGAGGGGGCAGGGGAGGCCGTCGCGTGTGACGCCTCGTGTCTCCAGGCTTGGGCGAGCCGTGATGAGGGTGTTGAGGACTATATGGGGATCATGGGGATGATGAGGGACTGATGGCGATGCTGGTGATGATGATGCGGATGCTGATGACGATGATGATTATGATGATAATGAAGATGATGATGAACATGATGGTGATGATGATGATCATGCTGATTCTGATGATGATGATGATGATGATGATGATGATGATGTTCATGATGATGCTGATTCTGCTGATGAGGATGCTGCTGCTGCTGATGATGATGCTTAAGACGATGGTGATGATGATGATGAAGAAGAAAATGATTATGATGATGAGGATGCGGATGCGGATGATGAGGGCGATGATGACGAATAATACAACAACTAGTATGATAATGTGATGATGATGATGGCACATACGATGACGATGACGATGATGACAATGATCTGCCGCTGGTGGTAATGATTGTTACGTGGGTTATGATGATGATGACGACTACGGCGATGATGATGCCAATCATGACGATGACGATGATGATGATGCTGATGGTGCTGATGGTGACGATGATGATGATGATGATGATGATGATGGTAATGCTGCTGCTGATGACGATGATGCTGATGGTGGTGATGATGATGACGCTAGTGATGATGCTGATGATGATAATGATATTGATGATGATCTTGACTACGATGATGATGCTGATAATGATTGTGATGATGATGCTGATGATGCTGATGATGATGATGTTGATGATGGTGAGGATGAAGATGATGGTGATGATGATGACGCTGATGATGATGATGCTGATGATGATTGTTAGTATGACGATGCTGATGATGATGCTGATGATGATGATTCTCTGGATACTGATGATTATGCTGTTTATGATGCTGGTGCTGATGATGCTGATGATGATGAGGCTGATGCTGCTAATGATGACGGTGACGACGATGATGATGTTGATGATGATGATGCTGATGATGATGACACGGATGATGATGATGCTGCTGATGATGATCATGATGATGATGATGATGATGATGCTGATGCTGATGCTGATGCTGATGCAAATGATGATGATGCTGATGATGGTGATGCTGATGCTGCTGGTGCTCATGATGTTGATGGTGATGATGATGCTGCTGATGACGATTCCGATGATGCTGTGGTGGTGGTTTGGTTATGGCGGTGGTCTCGCAGTAGTTGTGAGTATGGCGACGACGAGATGACGATGGAGGTGACGTTGACTATGATAATGGAGATGACGTTGACTATGATGTTGGTGGTGGTGATGATGATCATGACGACGATGATGAAGATGATGATGCTGCTGATGATGATCTTGATGATTAACATGATGGTGGTTAAGACGATGATGACGAAGCTGCTGCTGCTGCTGATGATGTCGTTGGCGATGAGGATGATGCGGATGATGATGATGATGATGATGATGATGATGATGATGATGCTGCTGCTGCTGCTGATAATGATGGTGACGACAATGTTTTGTTGATGCTACGGATGATGATGATGATGATGCTGATGATGATCATGATGATGATGATGATGATGCTGATGCTGATGATGCTGATGCTGATGCCGATGCTGACGCTGCTGATGATGCTGATGACGATGCTGATTATGATTATGATGACGACGACGATGATGATGATGATGATGATGATGATGATGATGATGATGGTGGTGGTGGTGGTGATGATGGATGATTGATGATGTTGATGATGCTGATGCTGACGCTGATGCTGATGCTGCTGGTGATGATGATGATGATGGTGATGATGGTGATGATGATGATGATGATGATGATGATGATGATGATGATGATGATGATGATGATGATGATGATGATGATGATGATGATGATGATGATGATGATGATGATGATGATGATGATGATGATGATGATGATGATGATGATAATGCTGATGATGTTTATGATGAAACTCGGGTGAGCCGTCTTGGGGCTGTCTTGGTCTGCTGCGAGGCAGTCTTTGGGGTCCTCTTGATGCCTCTTGGGCCGTCTGCGTCGGCTGGTGGTTCTTTTCGGCCGTTGTGATGCCCTCTTGGCCGTATGGTGGGTGTCTGGGGGCCGTCGTGGGGCCGCTTGGGCCGTCGAAGGGCTTTGTAAGGCCGTCTTGGGTCCCACGGGAGGCCCTCTTGAAGCCGTCTTGGGGCCGTTTTGGGATGAGGGAGGGGTGAGGGAAGAGGGAGGAGGGAGGAGGGAGAAAGGAGGAGGGAGGAGGGATGAGGGAGGAGGGTCGGAGGGAGGAGGGGGGAGGGAAGAGGAAGGAGCAGGAGGAGGAGGGAGGAGAAGAAGGACCAGTGCAAAGTCCAAGACGTATAAACCATGTTGCAATAAACCATCCGTCCAACATTTTTCTTCGCAGGCCCTGCGAGAAATACTTCTCGCTGCGGGAAGTGCCCCACGGGAAGGCACGCGTCTAATAACCCTTCCAACGCGCGACATCAATTCCTGGGACGTCAGCGCCGGGAATCAGCGCGAGCGTTGTGTCCTACACGGTGAAATCGTTCCACAACGTTTTTCTGGGGCTTCAGCACCGCGAATCGACATGCTCGCCGCAGCCTTAGTTGCTCCGGCGCAACCCATGCCAGGCCACAGGGTGTGTGGGTGTGTCGCCATCCAGGAGCGGCCCTGACAGCGATGCTGCACAGCCCGCCTCGGCACCAGGTGTGTGTCTGGACAACCATGAATCGTGCCAGAACACAATGCCTGGGGCTTCGGCCATACGAAGCTTTGACACTGCTGCAACCTTTCAAGACGAAAGTGCGCGGCGCTCAGGCAAGAGCCACAGGTTGACAAGGAACCGCTCTCTATCAGCGAAGCTGTTGCAAGCTTTCAAGACGAATGTACGCGGCGCTGAGGCGAGAGCCACATATTGACAACCACCCGCCCTCCATCCGTGAAACTGCAAATTTGAAGAGGCGAATGTGCGCTGCGCTACGGCGAGAGCCACACTTTGAAAGCGGCCCGCCCTCTATCCGTGAAATCATTGGACGCTTCTGAGGCGAATGTGCGCGGCGTCCAGGCGAAACATTCATTTGATATGGCCCCGCCGTGCGTCCATGAGACCGTTTCAAACCTTACAGACGAATGTGCGTGGCGCTGAGGCGAGGGCCTTATTTTGAAAACGGCCCGCCCTACATCCGCGAACCTGGTGCAAACTTTCAGACGAATGTGCGCTGCGCTACGGCGAGAGCCACATTATGAAAAAGGACCCGTCCTCCATCCGTGGAGCTGTTGCCATTTGTCGCAGCGAGCGTGCGCGGCGCTACGGCGAGAACCACATTTTGCAAAGGACCCGCTCTCGATCCGTAGCGCTGTTGCGAATCTCAAGGTGAACGAACTTACGCGGCGAGGAAGTCTCTGGCAAGACGTCTTGCACGCCCTACCGACAGGTCCGGAGGTGCGACGGGGAGGAGTAAAATGTTTGGAAATTTGATGGAGGAGGGAGGGAGGAGGAGGAGGAGGAGGGAGGAGGAGGAGGAGGGAAAAGGGGGGAGGAGGACGAGGTGGATGGAGGAAGAGGGAGGATGGAGGAGTAGGGGGGAAGAGGGAGGAGGGAGGAGGGAGCAGGAGGATGGGAGGGAGGAGGAGGGAGGGAGGAGGGCTGGGGAGGGGGCGGGGGAGGGCAGCGCAGCAGAGGGCAGGACGATCGTCCTGCCCAGCACTGGCGGCGCGGCGCCCCCTTAGAGGGGGGCGGGCGGGCTCCAGCCCCTGCCCCGTGTTCATCGACTTCGGCCTCTGCCTCAGGATGACGTGCAACAGGCCGAGGAACAAACACCGGCACACGCACGCACGCACGCACACACACACCCGCACACAGGCACACACACACCCTCACCACACACACACACCCGCACACGCGCACACAACACACACACAACACACAACACACACACACACACCCGCGCACACGCACACACACACAACACACAACACACAACACACACACCACTCATAACACACATAACCACAACACCGGCACACGCACGCACGCACACACACCCGCACAAACGCACACACGCACACACACACCCTCACCACACACACACACACCCGCACACGCGCACACACAACACACACAACACACAACACACACACACACGCCCGCGCACACGCACACACCCAACACCCAACACACAACACACAACACACAACACACACCACATTTAACACACATAACACGCAGCATGCACACAACACAGCACGCAGTACAAACAACACACAACGCACCCACAGCACAGCACACAACCCACACACAACACAACACACACACACACCACACAACACACACACGCACGCAAAACGCACAACACACAACACACAACCCACACACAACATACACAATACACAACATACAACACAGCACACACACACGCGCACACACAGCAGACGACACACGCAATTCACTAACAACGCACAAAACAACACACACAAAAACAACATACAGACACACGCACACACAACATACACACAACACACAGAGCACAACACATACAACACACGCAATACACACCCACACATCACTCAACACACAGCGCTCACTACACACAACACACATCACACAACGCACAACACACAACACAACACACATGCACACACGCACACGCCCGCGCACAACACACAACACACTATACACACAACACACTCTCAGCACACACACATACCACAAACAATACACACAACACGCACCCACCCACACTCGCACGCACACACGTACACACACGCACACACAATACACACCACACACCACACACAACACACACACACACAACACACAGCACACACACACACACGCACACACGGCCGAGCCCTCAATCCGCTCAGAGCGAGCAGCGCCGCGGCCAGCAATGGGTCATTTGCGCGTGGATGACCGGGGGGGCAGACGAGATGCGCAGTAACAACTGGCGAGGAAACGCCATGCCAGGAGGGCGATGCCAAGGTCAGACGACTGGCAGAAAGGCAGGTGAAGACAAAAAGCGGCCGAAGGCCAGCAGTGGCGGCGAGGACACTTCAAAGGCTGCACAGTGGAGGTCGGTCGCAGCGCCGGCAGGCCCGCAGGGTTGCCAGAAAGTCGGCTGAGAACCAGCCCAAGAGGGGAGTGGCTGGCCCGAAGGCCCAACGGGGACGGCCGTACCCTGGAGGCGAGGAGGGGTGTGCAGAGAACGAGGGGGACAGGAGAACAGTGAGAGCGCACCTGGGTGCTCGCCGAGGCAAGCTGGCTGAGGTGAAAGAAGGCGCAACGCACACACACACGCACGTACGCAAACGCGCACGCACGCACGCACACACACACACACCCACACTCACACGCACACCCACACGCACACGCACACGCACGCGCACAGACACACAGACACACAGACACACAACACACAGTTACACAGACACACAGACACACATACACAGAGATACAGACATACACAAACACACAGACACGCAGACACACAGACACACAGACACGCAGACACGCAGACACAGACACACAGACGCACAGACACATTGACACAGACACACGACACACAGACACACAGAGACACACACATACACACACACACTGTACAAACCACACACCATACAAACGCACACACGCGCACACACACGCGCACACACACGCACTTACACGCTTACGCACGCACAAACGCACACGCACACACACACACACGCGCACACATGCGCACACGCACACACGCACACACGCACACACACACAGACACTCCACGCACACACACACATCACACACCACACCACACCACAACACAACACACACCACGACACAACACAGCACAACCAAAACAACACACCATAACACAACACAACACGACACGACACGACACGACACAGCACGACGCAACACCACACAGACACACAGACGCACAGGCACACAGACACACAGACACACACAGACATTCAGACACAACAGGCACACGCACAGACACAGACAAACAGACACACAGACACACAGACACACACAGACACACAGACATACAGACACACAGGCACACAAGACATACAGACACAGACACACAGACACAGACACACAGACACACGGACACACAGACACACGGACACACAGGCACACACACAGACACGCAGACACGCAGACACACAGACACACAGGCACACGTTCACACATACAGACACACAGACACGCAGACACACACAGTCACACAGTCACACAAACACACAGACAGACAAGCACACAAACATGCACACATGCACACAGACACACAGACACACGGACACACAGACAGACAGACACACAGGAACACAGGAACACATGCACACATGCACACAGACACACAGACACACAGACACACAGACAGACGCACAGACACACAGACACACAGACACACACACACATACATAGACACGCAAACACTCGGACACACGGACACACAGACACACAGACACACAGGCACATAGACACATGAAACACAGGTACGCTGGCACACAGCACACAGACACACAGACACAAAGACACATACAGACATTCAGACACACAGACACACATACACAAACACATCCGTAGCCATTTTGGCTCAAGGCCATGGAGCACCCGACGACCGCGAGTCGTCCGCGGCGCTCTGAGCGCGAGGGGCTCCGCGCTTTGGGCCAGATCTCGGGTGCGTGTTCTTCGGACCTCGGGCCTCAGCTGAGAGGCCGCAGTTTTGGGCCGCGAGGCCATTCGACAGAGCCTGCCTTGCCATGGTGGCGCACGGGGAGCCAGCTGGAGGCCGCTCCTGGGCCGGCGTCGCGGCGGGCGGCAAGGCCAAAGGCAGCTGGAGCTACTGGGTCTGCTCCAGCGGGCAGTGCAGGGAGTGGAACTGGTGCCCGCACTGGAAGTGCCGCAGCTGCGGCCGAGTGGCCCCGCCGTGGGTCAAGGCTGCTCAGCCGCCCGCGGCAGCCGCTGGCCAGGAGCAGGCCGTCGCCGACGCCGAGGGCTTCGTCGTCCAACCCCGTGGGAGGAAAGCGAGGCGCCAGGCCAAGCGCACAGCTGCCCGTGCGGCCGGCGCGGGGGCCGCCAGTCTGGCAGGCGTCAGCGAGGCTAGCAGCGTGCAGCCGTCGGCCGTCGAGCGGCACCGTCAGGAGGTCAAGCGCATCGAGGACTTCCTCGCGGCCCCTGGCGAGTCCATCGACGAGGCATGCCTGCAGTCGCTGCGCTCGGCCCTCGACCGCGGGCGTCGCAGGCTCTCGGCAGCAGAGGCAGCGCTGGCGGAGCGCAGGAAGGCCGACACCCCCCTGCCCAAGGCGCTCCACGGCGCCGGCAATGCCCTGGCGAAGCTGGTCAGGCAGGGGCGGGCCAAGGAGCAGGCGCTGCTCAAGGCCGAGGAGGCCCACGCGGCAGCCATCGGCGAGCGTGAGGCAGCCATCGCGCGAGAAGCAGCATGCGCTGAGGCTGTTGAGGAGTGCCGAGCTGCTCTCGAGGCTCACCGTGAGGAGCAGAGGGCCGCTGAGGCCAGGCAAGCCAAGGAGGTCGGCGCGGCCTTCGTCGGCACGGACTTGCTCGGGATGGTCTTCGGCCTCATCCAGCAGGTCGAGGCCTTGCCCCAGGGGTTCGCCGCGGGCAACGGGGAGGCCGCCTTCGCGGAGGTCGCCAAGCAGATCGCGGCGGTCCGCAGGCATGCCCCCCCGAGGCTAGGGGGCGCTCTTCCTGGGCCGACACCCCCCTCGACGTCTCCGACGAGGACCTCGACGGGGATGAGGAGGAGCGGGTGCGGGCCTCGTCAGCCCCCCCTCTGCAGGACGCTGCCGAGCGCGGCCAAGCGGCACGGCGAGGAGGAGCGCACGGTGCGTGGCCCTCAGCCCAGCCGCTGGCGAGGGGCCTGGCCAATGCTGGCGCAGCCCTCCTTGACGACCAGCCGCTGGCGACGGCTGCTGTTGGCCGTGTTGTTGTGGGCCGCAGTCGGGTTTGACGTCGACTCGGCAGGCCCGTGTTCGGTAGTTGACAGGAGGGCCAGACGGCGTTCGGGTGAACAGGCGCCAGTGGAGCGGGGAGCCCAATGCCGTTCCCTGCGCTTGGGCAAACCTGCGAGTACGGCACCTGGCCAAAGGGGAGCGGTGAGGGCCGCCGACGGGTGGGTGGCCGATGCCACTCACCCCCCCGCGCTCCCTGTCGAGGCCGCTGACGAGCGGGTGGCCGAGTCCCTCGACGGGTGTAGCCAAGCCAAGGTGCCAAGTGACCAGCGGACGAGGTTGACGGCGCAGGAGGCCTGCATTGGCCAGGCTCGTCTCGGGCCGCAGCCCGCCCCTGAGTCGGGCCCTCGAGGTTCTGATGGCCGTGACTGCGAAAGAGCGGACTGGTTCCACAACTGCGTCGCGGGCTTCGCGTTGGCCGCCCCGCCCGTCGAGGAGGCCAGCCTGTTCCTAGGCATCCGCATATTCTTCGGGCACGTGCGCCGCGTCGTCCTTCGTTCGTCCGCCCTGCGCTTCGGCTTCCACCTGAAGCTGCTGCGCGGCCTCCTCGCCATCTTCCTGGCCCCGAGGATCGCGCTGGCAGGAGGCGTGGCGTCGGGCCCCTCTGGGCCCAGTGGCGCAGTGCTGGCGGGCTGGGCGTGCGCGACGGCTGCTGCTAAGCTACCCCTACTTGGAGGGCTCCTCGCAGCTGGGGCTCAGCGGCCTCTTGCCACCCTGCGCAACTTAGGGGGCAACTTCTCGCTCCAGGCTGTCGGCTCGGCGAGGCTGGAGGTCGACCAGCTCGTGGGGGCCAGTGGGGAAATGCTTCGGCACCTTCGGGATTACCACCTCCCGCTCAATGAGGGCAAGTCCGTTTGCCTGGCCTCGTCGGCACAGGTGGCGGACGGCCTTGCCGCCAGCTGGGCAGCCCTTGGCTTCGAGGTCAAGCGCGGGCCCCAGGCCCGCAATATGGGCACCGACGCCTACGTGACCCGCAGGGGAGTCCATGAGGGAGGCGCCCGCGCTGTGGGAGGCCGCCCCCGCGCCAGGCGGCTGAGAACCCTGGGCTCGGCGGGGGCCTCGGTGGTGACCTTGCGCCGCGCTGGCCCAACCGCCGCCATGTTTCGGTTGCGGGTTGGTCGGCGCCTCTCGGCTGGGCGCATCATGCGCACCGACGACGGCCACGCTTTGGACATGCTGATCTTGGGCCCCCGCGAGCTCGGACTGCTGGCTGCGACAGGGGCTCGCAGGGCCTCCGACAGGGCTGAGCCGATGCGGCTTCGGCGCGGCGCCGCCCCCGCCATGCCCTTGTTCTGGGGCGCTCTCGGCCAGGTCATCGGCCCGCGCGGCAAGTTCAGCGGCAGGGGGGAGGCGGCCTGGAGGTCGGACGCGATGGCAGTCATGTGGGTGAACGGGCTGCTAGGCGGTCGCCTCTACCTCGACGGCACGGCGCTCGACCGACAGGATGGAGTATCGTGCAGTGCGACGAGTTCTGCAACCTGCAGGCGGCGGTGTACGGCACGGTCCGCCTAGACCTGTGCCCTTTCCAGACGGCCAAGGACGGTGAGCACTTCGCGGTCTGGCTGCTGAGCCGCTACCTCGGGCCTTCGTTCCTCGGGATCAACAGTGACTGTGCGGCCACGGTCAGCTGCTTGAAGCTCGACAGGAGGTATACGACGGCGGCCAACAAGCCCAGCGCTCGCCTGTGGTCGGTCGTCAACGCCTCGCTAGGCGTCGACTCGCTCTTCGTGAACAAGGTTGAAGCCCACTGCACCGATATCGTTTGTCCTGAGGGCAGGATCTCGGAGGGTCAGTGGCTTGGGAGTGCCTGCGCCGACAGGCTGGCGAAGGCGGGAGCGGCCCTCCACAGGGCCAGCGCGGCTGCCAGGCGCGAGTTCTTCGGCGCGAAGGAGGTCGTGCGTGGGCTCTCCAGGAGGATCGCGCAGGTTTCGATCGTCTGGCAGGGCAGGGCCTCCAAGGGCTGCGAGAGCCTCCCCGTGTGCGACGAGCGAAGAACGACTGTCACCTTCGCGGTCCCGCTGAAGGAGCGTGCTGGCGGTCTGCGGGCGGCTCCCGTGTGCGAGTCGGACGCCGCGCCCGCCGCCGTTGAGGCCCGCGGGGAGCTGGCAGACAGCCGCCCCGCCGCCGCGGGCGCCTGGGCCTCAGCTGCGCGCGACGGCGGAGTCGCGCTGAGCGCCCTGGTCTTCGCCGTCGCTGGCCACGCCTTCGCGTTCGCCAGGTGCGGTGAGGACGGCGACGAGCAGGAGATCATCGCGTGCACCAGGTGCGGAGCATATGCGAGGCTAGGCGGACGCCCTGGCCCGCAGCCCAAGCTCAGGGAGCGCTGTCCTGGGGCAACAGGCCTCCCCAGGTCGCTGCGTGACCAGAAGTCGCGGCGGGGGCGTGGCCTACACCCTGGAGGCACGCCGCACGCCCGCGACGCGCGGAGGGAGGGGGCGGAGGCCCCTCGTCTTCGCAAGGAGGCTGAGGTGCCGCAGGACGCCAGTGAGCGCTTCCTGAAGTGGCTTGGGGTTCAGCCTGGCGCACCAGCAGGCGTCGCGAGCAGCGCCTCGGCGGCCGACGCTGCTGAGAGCGGCGCAGGTTGCGCTACCCCCTCGTCGGCTGAGGTGCCCGCTGCGGCTGGAGGCTCCGTGGCGGGAGAGGGCGCGCGGAAGGCCTGGCTGGATGCCTACGGCCTCGACGAGGAGAGCCTGCTGAGCTGGTCGGAGGAGGTCGAGGAGGCCCGACTCGAGCGCCAGAGCAGGAAGCGACGCAGAGATGACGGAGATGGAGGTGATTGAGTCCGCGCTGGTCCCAGCCTTGGGGCGCTCGAAGCGCGCGGTCTCGCGTGCGCCGAGCCTTGGCCGCTCCTGGCGTTGGAGCGCCAGCCTGCCTCTCCTCCTGTCCTTCCCTCTGCGTCCGTCTCCCGTCCTCCTGTCCTCTTTGGACCCCTGGCGGCCGCGGGCCGCTGCGTGTGGGCGTGAAGTTTCCTGCGCATCGCCCGCCTCGCCACGCCGCTCGGGGCTGTGCAGGCATGTGTGGGGCGTCGCCCGTCGCGTGCCTGCGCGTTTGTATTTATTCCAGCGCTTCGCGCTGATGCCCCTCGACGGGGGTCTGAGCTGACTCGCCGCGCGGTGCCTCGGGGCCGATGTGCCCTGGTGGCTGCCTTCTTCGGCTCGTCTGGGCTCTCGGGGTCCCTTGTGGCCCGCCCCCTGTCTTGGGATGGCCCCTTGGGGCTCTGGCCCCTCAGTGGGGCCTGGGTCCTTGGTGGGCTTTTTTAGCCTTTATAGGCCCCGCGCTAACATACACAGACACAGGGGCATGCAGACACAGGCACAAGGCACACATGCACGCAGACACAGACACACGGACACACAGTCACACAGACACGCACAGAGACACAGACGCACAGACACACAGACACACAGACACGACAAATAAACACATATACACAGCGGCACAGACCACGCAGACCACACAGACATGCAGGCACATACACACAGACACGCATACTCACACAGACACAGACACACAGCCACACAGACACACAGACAGACAGACACACGACACACGCAGAAACACAGACACAGACACAGACACACAGACAAACAGACACACCGACACACAGACACAGACACACATATACATACAGACACACAGACACAAAGACGCACACGCACCCAGACACTCAGAGTCACAGAGACACCTAGACACATCGACACGCAGGCACTCACAGCCACATACACAGAGACACACGCAGGGACAGTCACACGCAGCGACGCGCACAGTCACACAGACACACACAGACACACGCAGGCACACAGAGACACACCCACATACACAAAGCCACACGCAGAGAACACCCACACAGTCGCACACAGACACACAGGCACACACAGGCACACACAGAGACACACAGAGACACACACACACAGGCAGACACACAGAAACACAGAGACACACAGAGACACACAGAGTCACGCTTGCGGATCGGGCTCGAGCCAACCGCCGTGACCTCCTCGTAGCGAGTCTCCACCCTGAGTCAGGTGCTCCCTCGGCTTGAGGTCGGGGCCAGGCCCTCCAGGTGCGCTTTGTTGGATCTGGAGTTGCCCGCCCTTGCTCACGGTGTGGGGGCTGTCTTTTGCCTCGAGAGGCCTTGGCCCTAGTTGCCTCGAGAGGCCTCAGGACCCCTCGGCCCTAGTTGGCCTGTCACCCGTACAGGGCTGTGTTGGTTTCGTTTGTGATTCGGACGATGTCCTTTCGGCTGGTACACGGAGACGCACAGCGACACACAGAGCCACGCAAAGGCACACATAGACACACACACAGACCCACAGAGACACACTGACACACACACACACACAAACACACATATACACATATACACAGAGACACGCAGATGCACACAGAGACACACAGAGACACACAGACACGCAGAGACACACACAGAGACGCACAGAGACACACAGAGACACACAGAGACCCACAGAGACACACAGAGACACAACGAGACACAGAGGCACACACAGAGGCACACAGAGACACACAGAGACACGCAGAGACACACAGAGACGCACAGAGGCACACAAAGACACACAATGCCACACAGAGGCATACAGACACACAGAGACGCACAGAGGCACACGGAGACACAGAGACACACAGAGACGCACAGGGACACACAGAGGTACTCAGAGGCGCAAACAGACACACAGAGACACATAGAGACACAGAGACACATATAGACACACAGAGAGACTTACACAGAGACTTACATAGGGACACACACAGACACACACGCATATACACACAGAGATACACACACAGAGACGCACAGAGACACAGAGAAGCGCAGAGAGACGCACAGATGCACACAGAGACACACACAGAGACACACAGAGACACACAGAGAGACACAAAGAGACACAAAGACACACAGAGACACGCAGAGACACACAGAGACGCACAGAGACGCACATAGATGCACAGAGACACAAAAAGATACACAGAGACACACAGAGACACACAGAGACACACAGAGACGCACAGAGACACACATAGACGCATAGAGACACATTGAGACACACAGACACACAGAGACACACAGAGACACACAGACACGCACACAGAGACACACACAGAGACACATAGACAGAGACACACAGAGACACACAGACACGCACACAGAGACACACACAGAGACACACAGAGACACAGTAGCAGAGACACATAGACACACAGACCACACAGACCACAGACACACAGACATACTGACACACACACACACACGCAAACTTTCGACGCTCCGCTCGGGTTTTTTCTTTGCATCTGCGCCTCGGCCTCGAGTGGCGGCGCCTCCAGCGCCACTCCTGGCGCTCCGCGCGCGTGGGAGGCGGGTCCCAGCGCCGATCTCTGAAATCTGCGCGGAGCTCCAGAAGTTTAAGGTCTGTGCTGTTTTTTGTTCCCCCGGCAGGGGCGGCGGGGGGACGCCGGGCTACATGCCGCCGGAGGTCTACGACGAGAGGCGGTGGTACCCTCGCGGGGACGTGTTCAGCCTCGGTGCCGACGCGGGCCTGGAAAGAGCTCTGTGGAGCGCATGTGGATTGTGCCACTGGCCTTCGATGGAACTTCGGAGCCACGCGGGCTTTCGTGGGAGGGGGTGCTCGCCGGGGTTCGAGCAGGGGATCGACTGCAGCATTGATGCACCCCAGAATGGGTTATCTCGTCGAATCTACAAGAAGTGCGCGTAACTCGTAAACGTTCGTGGATGTACACATTTCTTTCATATTGTCATGGACTCGACGAAAACACAGTTCTGGGGTATATCAATTCTATAGTCGATCCCCTACTCGAGAGGTGGGGTCGGGAACGACCTCATCGGCATGCCCACCCTTTCTTCTTCCAGGAGCCGTTTAGATCGACTTTCTTTCACCCAAACCAACCTCGACGTCCCCCCGACCCTTTTTTCGGGGACCGATTTTTCATCCGGATTCGCTTTTCCCTACACCGCCTGTCCGTGAGAGGGCCCTCTTCGTGGCTCGTGACGAAGAGGAGGAGGAGGAGGACGAAGTGGAGGAGGAGGAGGAGGAGGAGGAGGAGGAGGAGGAGGAGGAGGACCCTCTCCCCCTCCAACTTATGGTGGAGGTGGTGGAAAACACGCCCATTACGCCAGGCGTAACCCCCTCCCCCGAGCAGGGGAAGGAGAGCAGAGCTGGGGGGCCGCTGCTGGCCCCGGAGCCGGTGACTTGCTGGTCTCCCGTGCGGTCTCCCGTGCGGTCTCCCGTGCGACCTCCCGCATGGTCTCCCGCGTGGCCTTCCGTATGGCATGGCTCTCCGCATGGTCTCCCTCCTCCCCCATCCTCCCTCCTCCCTCCTCCTCCCCCATCCTCCTCCCTCCTCCCCATCCCCCTCCCCCCTTCCTTCCTCCCTCCGCTCTTGCTGGAGGTCCCGCGACTCAAAACTCGACCCTGGCGGCCCAGGGGCCGAGCTCCCTCCACGGCCGATGCTCGCCCAGGGGCCGCGAGTCCTGGGCCAGAGCCCCTCGCGAAGTGGTGCCGTTTTTAAGACATGCTCCGCGTGCGGATCATGTATTAAAAATGCAGGGATTTAGTATTAAAAACAACGATGAGTTCATGCATACAGTTATTCATACATTAATCATGTATTAACATCCTATATGTTATAAACATCCCATGTATTAAAAACTGCCCTGTATGGTCTCCCTAGTGGTTTCCCGTATGGCCTCCCGCATGACCTGCCATGGGGTAACGGGTTCTGAGGGGAGCGGGTCCTGAGGTTTCTTTCACCGTTTCCGGGCTCTCGGGGCCCTCCACGGGCCCCGGGGATTGCCAGAAGACGACTCAGGATGAAGCTCCCGTCCTGGGGGAACGGCCTCAGGGTCCAGGACCCGTTCCTCTTCAGGACCCGCTTCCCCCCATGCGGAAGGATCTCCCCTGTGGTCTCCCAGACGGCCTCCCGTTTTGTTACGGTGGTGTCTTCGGTGGCGGCCGTGCGCGTGAGGAGCCCGCTGCGGCGTTGTCTCCCGGATGGCCTGCCGTAAGTTCTCCCGTCTGGTCTCCCGTGTGCTCTCCCGTACGGTCTCCCGTGTGGTCTTTCGTCTGCTTCCGTGTGGTCTCCAGAGCGGTTTGTCGTGCGTTCAGTGCAGTAGGTAGTTGCTCTCCTTACTGTCTAATTCTGATGTTGAGTGCTTTTCTTTTTTTTCCCAACCATCCTGTGGTGTTGGGTCCTCGTTTTGAAGAGACAGCGCCCCGCGTTCCCACTTCTCCTCCCTATCCTCCTCCTCCCCCTCCTCCCTCTTCCCATCCGCCTCGTCATCGTCATCGTCAGCGTCATCATCGTCATCATCATCGTCATCATCATCGCCATCGTCATGATCCACATGACATCATCGTGAGCATCGCCATCGCCATCGTCAGCGCCGCGCCCCTCACACGGTTCGTGGCCCCATAGGGAGCTCCACCGAAGGCACCAGTGGCAGGGTCCGCATGCGGGGACCGCCACCCATTTCGGCACCCCCCTCACACGGTTCGTGGCCCTGTAGGGAACTCCACCGAAGCCCCCAGTGGCAGGGTCCGCATGGCGGCGCCGCCCTTTTTTGGCGCACCCCTCATACGGCGCGTGGCCCCATCGGGAGCTCCACCGAAGGCCCCACTGGCAGGGTCCACATGGCGGTGCCGCCCTCATTTCGGCACACCCCTCACACAGTTCGTGGCCCCATAGGGAGCTCCACCGAAGGCCCCACTGGCAGGGTGGTGGCGCCGCACGCATTTCGGCACACCCCTCACACGGTTGGCGGCCCCAGAAGAACCACCGAAGGACCCAGCTGCAGGGTCCACATGGCGCCGCCGCCACATTTCGGCACACGCCTCACACGGTTCGTGGCCCCATAGGGAGCTCCACTGAAGGCCCCAGTGGCAGGGTCTGCATGGCGGCGCCGCCCCATGTTGGCGCACCGATCACACGGTTCGTGGCCCCATAGGGAGCTCCACCGAAGGTCCTAGTGGCAGGGTCCGCATTGCGGCGCCGCCCCATTTTGGCACACCCTTCACACGGTTCGCGGCCCCATCGGGAGCTCTACCGAAGGCCCTTCTGGCAGGGTCCACATGGCGGCGCCGCCACATTTTGGAGTACCCCTCACACGGTTCGTGGCCCATGCCATAGGGAGCTCCACCAAAGGCCCCAGTGGCACGGTCCACATGGCGGTGCCGCCCCTTTTTGGAGCACCCCTCACACGGTTCGTGGCCCCATAGGGAGTTCCACCAAAGGACCCAGCTGCCGGGTCCGAATGGCGGCGCCGCCCCTTTTTGGCGCACCCCTCACACGGTTCGTGGCCCCAGAAGATCCACCGAAGGCCCCAGTGGCAGGGTCCACATGGCGGCGCCGCCCCTTTTTGGCGCGTGGCCCCATAGGGAGCTCCACCGAAGGCTCCACTGGCAGGGTCCACATGGCGGTGCCGCCCTCATTTCGGCACACCTCTCACACAGTTCGTGGCCCCATAGGGAGCTCCACCGAAGGCCCCAGTGGCAGGGTCCACATGGCGGTGCCGCATCATTATGGCGCACGCTTCACACGGTTCGTGGTCCCATAGAGGGATCGTGGCCCCATAGGGAGGTCCACCGAATGCCCCAGTGGCAGGGTCCGCATGGCGGTGCTTGCTCCTCGGCCAGGGTGGCAGCGGGAAGACAGCCCTGGTGCAGGCGCAGCACGACACAGAGCGAGGAGAATACGCCGGGAAGAACATGAAGGCAAAATGGCCGCGCACGGGACTTGGGCCACCCTGCGCCCCCCTCCTCCGTCTCATATCCTTCGCGGTTCTCGCGGCTGCATGTGGTTGGGTCCTTCGTCGGGCAAGTTTTCCTGGGCGAGGGGTCGAGGGGCGCGGCTCGGCCTCCAAGGCGTGGTCTTTTTCCAGCTGATGGTCGGCCAGAGCCACTGCGACCCCGTGCTGGGAGGCGATCGTGGGCGGGAAGCATGCCCGCATCCACGCCATCGCGGTCCCGATGCCTCTGCCGCGGCCCCGTGGACGCCCCGCGTGGAGCGCGCACCCATGGGACCGCGCATCCAGAAGATCGCGCCTCGGCGTCCAGACTGCGACGGCACATGGCTGTGGGCATGCCAACCGCCCGCGAGGCAACCACCTCTCGAACAGCGCCTGGTGGGCCGCGAGGTGCAGGCAGCTGCCGTGGCACCGCTTCCCCGACATGCCGGACCTGAAGAACCTCGTGGGCCGCTCTGGGGAGCCGAAGCCCCGACCGTGCTGCTGGGGTTAAGTCGGGCGTGCCCCCTTACGGGGGGATTTTCGATGAACAATAAATTATCCCGGCAAAGCAACCTAACAGCGATGTGTAGGAGCACATTTGGAAGCATTCCCCTTAAGATTCAGATGAGAATCCAGTTGTAGAATTCTGCTGTTCTCGCAGTCGTAGTCGCATTCGCGACGACAGTCGCAGTGGCAACGGCAGTCGCAGTCACAGCCTCAGCCTCAGCCTGCCTCAGCCTCAGCCTCAGCCTGCCTCAGCCTCAGCCTGCCTCAGCCTCAGCCTCAGCCTGCTTTCAGCCTCAGCCTCAGTCTGCCTTCAGCCTCGGCCTCAGCCTCAGCCTCAGCCTCAGCCTGCTCAGCCTCAGCAGCCTCAGCCTCAGCCTCAGCCTCAGCCTGCCTCAGCATCAGCCTGCCTCAGCCTCAGCCTCAGCCTCAGCCTCAGCCTCAGCCTCAGCCTCAGCCTCCTGCCTCAGCCTCAGCCTCAGCCTGCCTCAGCCTCAGCCTCAGCCTGCTTCAGCCTCAGCCTCAGTCTGCCTTCAGCCTCGGCCTCAGCCTCAGCCTCAGCCTGCATCAGCCTCAGCCTCAGCCTCAGCCTGCCTCAGCATCAGCCTGCCTCAGCCTCAGCCTCAGCCTGCCTCAGCCTCAGCCTCAGCCTGCTTCAGCCTCAGCCTCAGTCTGCCTCAGCCTCAGCCTCAGCCTCAGCCTGCCTCAGCCTGCCTCAGCTCAGCCTCAGCCTCAGCCTCAGCCTGCTTCAGCCTCAGCTCAGTCTGCCTTCAGCCTCGGCCTCAGCCTCAGCATGCCTCAGCCTCAGCCTGCATCAGCCTCAGCCTCAGCCTCAGCCTGCATCAGCATCAGCCTCACTCAGCCTCAGCCTCAGTTTGCCTCAGCCTCGGCCTCAGCCTCAGCCTCAGCATCCGCCTGCCTCAGCCTCAGCCTCAGCCTGCCTCAGCCTCAGCCTCAGCCTGCCTCAGCCTCAGCCTCAGCCTGCTTCAGCCTCAGCCTCAGTCTGCCTTCAGCCTCGGCCTCAGCCTCAGCCTGCCTCAGCCTCAGCCTGCATCAGCCTCAGCCTCAGCCTCAGCCTGCCTCAGCATCAGCCTGCCTCAGCCTCAGCCTCAGCCTGCCTCAGCCTCAGCCTCAGCCTGCTTCAGCCTCAGCCTCAGTCTGCCTTCAGCCTCGGCCTCAGCCTCAGCCTGCCTCAGCCTCAGCCTGCATCAGCCTCAGCCTCAGCCTCAGCCTGCCTCAGCATCAGCCTGCCTCAGCCTCAGCCTCAGCCTGCCTCAGCCTCGGCCTCAGCCTGCTTCAGCCTCAGCCTCAGTCTGCCTTCAGCCTCGGCCTCAGCCTCAGCCTGCCTCAGCCTCAGCCTGCATCAGCCTCAGCCTCAGCCTCAGCCTGCCTCAGCTCAGCCTCAGCCTCAGCCTCAGCCTCAGCCTGCTTCAGCCTCAGCCTCAGTCTGCCTTCAGCCTCGGCCTCAGCCTCAGCCTGCCTCAGCCTCAGCCTGCCTCAGCCTCAGCCTCAGCCTCAGCTGCTTCAGCCTCAGCCTCAGTCTGCCTTCAGCCTCGGCCTCAGCCTCAGCCTGCCTCAGCCTCAGCCTGCATCAGCCTCAGCCTCAGCCTCAGCCTGCCTCAGCATCAGCCTGCCTCAGCCTCAGCCTCAGCCTGCCTCAGCCTCAGCCTCAGCCTGCTTCAGCCTCAGCCTCAGTCTGCCTTCAGCCTCGGCCTCAGCCTCAGCCTGCCTCAGCCTCAGCCTGCCTCAGCCTCAGCATCAGCCTGCCTCAGCATTCAAGATGTTGCCCGGGAATGGCCATGCCCAGGAATGGAGTTCTAGGACCTCGAAGATCACGAAGTGGCCTACAGTTGGCTCCGGGCATTCAAAATGTGGCCTGGGAATGGAGTTCTGGGAACTCGAAGACCACGAAGTGGCCTACAGTGGGCTCCGGGCATTCAAACTTGTAGCCCGGGAATGGAGTTCTGGGAACTCGAAGAGCACGAAGTGGCCTACAGTTGGCTCCGGGCAATCAGAATGTGGCCCGGGAATGGAGTTTTGGGACCTCGAAGACCACGAAGTGTGTAACTGTTTGCTTAAAACGACTTCCGCGGATCCCTGTCCGGATGCCGCCCAGACCCCCCTGGGGAGTAATGATGCTCTCTTTTGACCCTATTAGAAGCCTATCAGGTTCGCTGTGAGGTAGAAATATTACAAAAATACCCCAAAAGGGTGACAACCATGTTGAAAAAAAGTCCCCAGACTATTTTTGGATCACTTTTTATTTTTTTGGGGGTAATTTTTATTTTTCGTCGAAAATTCCCCTGTAGGGGGACAGGCCCGACTTAATGCTGGGGTCGGCCTTTCCGTGCGTCGGGCGCGCGCGCGTCTGTGAGCGAGGAGGGAGCATCGCGTGCGTGAGGTTCGCGCCGCGTGGACCTGGCGGCGACCCGAACGCGGGCGTTCAAGGTTGACCGCCGCCAGTCCACCAGAATCGGCTGATAGCGAACGTTCGTTCGAGGCCGAACGGTGCACGTGGTGTCGGAAACCTGCGCGGAAGTTGTGACGACAGGAACCTGCCGTCGGCATGGGATGTCGTGGGACCACTTTCCTGGCATGCTGGACCTGAAGAACCTCGCAGGCCGCCCAGGCGGGCCGAAGCCGCGACCGTGCTGCTGGGGTCGGCCTTTCGGTTCTTCGGGCGCGCCCGCGTCTACCAGGAAAGGGTGCGGGGAGTAATCATTGCGTTTTGGGCTTTCCGAGGAGGCCCTGCTCGCCACTGCGGGATTCGCCTTGAACTCCTGGTCAGAACGCTCCCCAGGAGAGGCCGCCCGGTGCTGCAGGTTCGCTCTTCGGTGCGTTCGCCTCGCGGGCGTCTGCTGGTGAGCAGGGAGTATTCGCCCAGTATTCGCCCACCCCTGCCGACCATCCCAAATCGACGCCCGTCGCGGACAACCACCGCGAACCGAAGGCGCTCTGGCGCGGTGCGCCGATCAGGCGAGGTTGACCCCCGTCGGTCGGCTCCTCCATCGCTTGGCATGGGGGTTTGTAGTGATGGAGAAGCTGCTGAGGCATAAGTGATGGCCACCACAGGTCAGGCACTATTGCTTCATATCGGGAGAAGACAAAGCTCTGACCAGCACCAGTAGTGGTAATCGTAGTAGCAGTGGTGGCTGTGGTAGTAGTGGTAGTAGTAGTAGTAGTAGTAGTAGTAGTAGTCGTAGTAGTAGTAGTAGTAGTAGTAGTGGTGGTGGTGGTGGTGGTGGTGGTGGTTGTAGTAGTTTTGTTGTAGTAGTAGTAGTAGTAAAGTAGTAGATTCTCGTCGTAGTAGTATAGTAGTAGTAGTAGTAGTCGTAGTAGTATGTGTAGTAGTATAGAGTATTAGAAGTAGTAAGTAGTAGTAGTAGTAGTAGCTGTATTAATAGTAAATAGTAGTAGTAGTAGTAGTAGTAGTAGTAGTAGTAGTATAATAGAAGAAGTAGTGTAGTAGTAAAGTATTAGGATAAATTAGTAGTAGTAATTGTAGTAGGAGTAAGTATCGCCTATCCCCTCTAGTCGTAGTAGTAGGAGTAGGAGCAGGAGTAGGAGTATAGCAGTAGCAGTAGTAGTTAGTAGTATATTAGTAGCTAAGTAGTCGTCGTCGTCGTCGTCGTCGTCGTCGTCGTCGTCGTCGTCGGGGTCGGCGTAGTGAGGAGTATTAGTAGTGTAGTAAAAGTAAAGTAGTGTAGAGTAGTAGTAGTAGTCGACGTAGACGTAGTCGTAGTGGGTAAGTGAGTATGTGTAGTTGAAACACTGTCTTGACTGTAGTAGTAGTCCGTCGACGTAGACGTAAGTCGTAGTAGTAGTAGTAGTAGTCTCGTAGTAGCAGCAGTAGCAGCAGGAGTAGTATTGGTAGTATCGTAGTAGTAGTAGTAGTAGTAGTAGTAGTAGTAGTAGTAGTAGTAGTAGTAGTAGTAGTAGTCGTAGTAGTAGTAGTAGTAGTAGTAGTAGTAGTAGTAGTAGTAGTAGTAGTAGTAGCAGTAAGAGTGGTAGTAGTAGTCGTCGTCGTCGTCTTCGTTGTTGTCGTCGTAGTCGAAGTCGAAGTCGAAGTCGAAGTCGAAGTCGACGTAGTAGTAGTAGTAGTAGTAGTAGTAGTAGTAGTAGTAGTAGTAGTAGTAGTAGTAGTAGTAATAGTTGTAGTAGTAATAGTGGTAGTAGAACTAGTAGTAGCAGTCGGAGTATGTGTAGGAGTAGGAGTAGGAGGTAGTAGTAGTAGCAGTAGTAGTAGCAATAGTAGTCATCTTATTCCCAACCCTCGTTGGTTGGGTATTCGTTTTGAATAGAGCAGTGTGGTCTCCACTCCTTCCTTTCTTCCTCCTCCTCCCTCCCTGCCTCTTCCTGTCTTGCCTGCGGGGGGCTGCGATCTGTGAAACTGTCGCCATTTTCGAGGCCTGCTGGGGGGCCCAGCACAGTGCGGGCCACGCGCGGATTCAAATTATACCTCGCCATCCCTGGGGGGCTGCGATCTGTGAAACTGTCGCCACTGTCGAGGCCTGCTGGGGGGCCCAGCACAGTGAGGGCCACGCGCGAATTCAAATTGTACCTCGCCATCTCTGGGGGGCTGCGATCTGTGAAACTGTCGCCATTTTTGAGGCCTGCTGGGGGGCACAGCACAGTGAGGGCCACGCGCGGATTCACATGAGACCTCGCCATCTCTGGGGGGGGGGGCTGCGATTCGTGAAACCTGTCTCCAACTTCGAGGCCTGCTGGGGGGTGGGCCCTCGCATAGAGGGCGGCGGGCGGACCCAATGAGACCTCGCCATCACTGTGGGGCTGCGATCTGTGAAACTGTCGCCACTTTCGAGGCCTGCTGGGGGGCCCAGCACAGTGAGGGCCACGGGCGGACCCAAAATAGACCTCGCCATCCCTGGGGGGCTGCGATCTGCGAAACTGTCGCCACTTTCGAGGCCTGCTGGGGGGCCCAGCACAGTGAGGGCCACGCGCGGATTCAAATTAGACCTCGCCATCCCTGGGGGGCTGCGATCTGCGAAACAGTCGCCACTTTCGAGGCCGGCCTGCTGGGGGGCCCAGCACAGTGAGGGCCAGGGGCGGGCCCAAATTAGACCTCGCCATCCCTGGGTCTGCGATCTTAGCGACAAACTGTTATCACTCTTCGCCACCGCGCCCCTCGCTGGGGGGTCCAGCACAGTGACGCCTACGGGCCGGACCCAAATTAGACCTCGGCCATCCTGGGGGGTAGCGATCTGGAAACTGTCGCACTTTCGAAGGTCTGCTGGGGGGCACAGCACAGTGACGCACGAGGCGGACCTAAATTGGGACCTCGCCATCCCTGGGGGGGGCTGCGATCCGACAAAAAACTGTCGCCACTTTAGAGGCCTGCTGGGGCCCAGCACAGTGACGCCACGGGCAGACTCAAATTAGACCTCGCCATCCCTGGGGGGCTGCGATCTGTGAAACTGTCGTCACTTTCGCGGCCTGCTGGGGGGCCCAGCACAGTGACGCCACGGGCGGACCCAAATTAGACATCGCCATCCCTGGAGGGCTGCGAAATGTGAAACTGTCGCCACTTTCGAGGCCTGCTGGGGGGCCCAGCACAGTGACGCCACGGGCGGCCCCAAATTAGACCTCTCCATCCCTGGTGGGGTTGCGATCTGAGATCACCGCTTTCGAAATGGCTAGGGTTGCTCAGGGATTGCAACTAATCAGCTTTATCTAGGCCTTGTCCTGAAGCCAGTGTCCTGCGAGTCTCCCGAATTCCGTCTGCAGACATACGTAACCCTCGCTCCGTCATCGCCCCCCTTGTACAGTGTCCTAAACTATTTGCGCCCCGCGTCTGCGCAGGGGTTGGGTACGTCGCAAGGGTCATTATTAGTCGCAGTAGTAGTAGAAATAGTAGTAGTCGCAGTCGTACTGGTAGTAATAGTGGTGGTAGAGGTGATAGTGATAGTAGTAGTAGTAGTAGTAGTAGTAGTAGTAGTAGTAGTAGTAGTCGTAGTAGTAGTAGTAGTAGTAGTAGTAGTAGTAGTAGTAGTAGTAGTAGTAGTAAGTAGTAGTAGTAGTAGTAGTAGTAGTAGTAGTAGTAGTAGTAGTAGTAGTAGTAGTTGTAGTAGTAGTAGTAGTAGTAG